TATATATATATATATATATATATACTAGCTGCGGGTACCCGCTGCGCTGGGTAAAATCGTGCTACTAATTCATACTACTAATAATGGGACACAATAGGAACATATTTTGGGTAAAAATCGACAATAACATTGCACACAATATCAATATTTACAAATCGGTCTAATAAGATAATAAGCATGGGAAAAAAACTGTTACGTATGACATTTATATGACAGCACAACCCAACTTAGAACCCCTGGGACATAATAGTAATAATGGTGTAAATGACAAAAAGTTATTATAACAGCATGTGCGAATGGGTTGCACTTTTCATTTCAAAGCCTGTTGATAAACAATGTTTTTCGTGTTATTCTCTGGTGCAAATATGTAGAGATTCCTAGCGTCTCCAACTGTTGAGCTCCCCACGTACAGCTATCCATTGTGAGATCGTACCATAAATAAAAGAAATTCCATATATAGTATAGATAGAGACAGGCCAGCTAGTCGGGTCTGTGTCCACTGGATATTGTCTAGTAATGAGTGATGGTGAATGCTTGGCGCGCAACCATACACATTGAAATTAAGAAATTTTTCTACTGAATCAGAAAATGCATAGCTTTCGAATGGTACAATGCATTCTGAGATGGTAGCATCTGAACTCAACCTCTCAACTCAGTGAGTAGTACCTATGAACTGGTCCTGGTTGTGCTCTGTTTTAGTATTGGTTTCGGTTATACAATAGCAGCAGCTGATGAGGTGAGGGAAAGAAATAGTCATTGATTTTTCTGTGTGTGGCAGCACTGTACAGTGAGTGCTGACATTTTATGAAGTTTCACGAATTGAGGAATTTTTGACGGATTTTTCTGTGAGTTTCACGGTTTGACAGATTTTTTTCGTCTAGGAACACTCCCAGGGTATAGGAAATCGCCCTCTGAAAAATGCATCCAGATCGCTTGGGCGGTTTGGCCGCCGCTCCATAAGGGTACGATACATACATACATGCATGCAGCACGCATAGAGGCCACCGGAGGCCAGCGCGACGAGGGCACTAGGCACGGCCAAGCGGGCGAGCGCATGCACGCCTCACGAGCACCGACC